CCCCACTTGTACTCGCTCTTTCTTTCTAAAATAAATAAATCTTTAAAATAAAAAAATTAAAAATAAAAATTAAAAATAACAAAAAATTCAACTTGCAAACTGCTTTCTAGTCGTATTTCTTTTTTTTTAAGATTTTATTTATTTATTTGACAGAGAGAGACACAGTGAGAGAGGGAACACAAGCAGGGGGAGTGGGAGAGGGAGAAGCAGGCTTCCCGCGGAGCAGGGAGTCAGATGCGGGGCTCGATTCCAGGACCCTGGGATCATGACAGGAGCCGAAGGCAGACGCTTAACAACTGAGCCACCCAGGCACCCCTCTAATTGTATTTCTATGAAGAAAATATAACTCATGAATACTCTCAACAATATCATAAATACCCATTCCTCAGGTAAACTTATTTTAAAAATCTAGTCATAGTTCACAATAGTTCAAAACCTTTGGGACACAGCAAAAGCTATTCTTAGAGGGAAGTTTATAGCAATACAGGCTTACCTCAAGGAGCAAGAAAAAAAATTTTTTTAAAGATGGTAGGTTTTCTTTTTATTTTTTTAAACAGAGTCTCTTTTTTTAAAGATTTTATTTATTTGTCAGAGAGATAGCACAAGCAGAGGGAGAAGCAGGCTCCCTACTGAGCAGGGAGCCGGATGTGGGACTCGATCCCAGGACCCAGGGATTATGACCTAAGCCGAAGGCAGACACTTAATTGACTGAGCCACCCAGGTATCCCAGCAGGAAAAATCTTAAGTAAACAACCTAACCTTACACCTAAAGGAACTAGAAAAAGAACAAACAAAACTTAAAATCAGCAGAAGGAAGGAAATAATAAAGATTAGAGCAGAAATAAATGATATAAACTAAAGAAACAATAGAACAGATCAATAAAAATCTAGTCATAGCCTAGCACAGGGATCATGAATACCTGAATCAGTCAGCTATTTGAAATAAGTCTGGAAAAAAAAAGGAATGTTATTTTAGTCTCCTATTCCCCTGGGTAGGAGTTCTATTTTCCCCATCATTTTCTGTTTTGTTTTTAGGAAGAAAACAATCATATTCACCTTGGAAGTGATTTTTTAAAAAAGATTTTATTAATCAGAGAGAGAGAGAGAGAACGCACACACAACCAGGGGGAGCAGCAGAGGGAGAGGGAGAAGCAGGCTCCCCGCTGAGCAGGGACCCCAATGTGGGGCTCGATCCCAGGACTCTGGGATCATGACCTGAGCCGAAGGCAGATGCTTAACCAACTGAGCTACCCAGGTGTCCCTGGAAGTGATTTTTGAATAGGCCAAGTATTAGTTTTAAAGAGCTAGAATTACCATCATTTATAGTATGCAATCCAATGACCCATAAAATCTATTTTGGCCATTTTCCATAGCTCCATTAAAAAAATAATGACTGTGGTAAAATGAGGTTGAAAATAATTCCTGTTAGGGGCGCCTGGGTGGCTCAGTTGGTTAAGCGACTGCCTTCGGCTCAGGTCATGATCCTAGAGTCCCTGGTTCGAGTCCCGCATCGGGCTCCCTGCTTGGCAGGGAGCCTGCTTCTGCCTCTGACCCTCCCCCCTCTCATGTGCTCTCTCTCTTTCATTCTCTCTGTCTCAAAGAAAGAAAGAAAGAAAGAAAGAAAGAAAGAAAGAAAGAAAGAAAGAAAAAAAAAAAAGAAAGAAAGAAAATAATTCCTGTTACCAAGGGGCCAAAGGTGAGATTCTTCATCGTACACATTTAATTTAAGGATTGAATTTTAGCAGAGAGAGATAAGAACAATAAGGTAATTGTTGGTCATTCATTAAACAGAAGGTGAGTTTCGGCCTTTTGCTCCTATTGGAAACAAGTCCTTCCAAAGTTGGAAATACCTTCCACACTCAGGTGTGGTTGATCAGGTTCTGACCATGGTAATTCCTAAATATTAATGAAAGAGCAAGTTAAAGTAGATGACCTGGTAATTTTGTACTGGTATGATTCAGAGCTATTATACAAAGATACTCTAAGGAATTTACTTTGCCCTTCTCAATTTTGAAGAAATGTGGTTAGACTGACTGGAGTGTAATCTTGCTGACCATTGCTTGACTTTCCATATGATCCTACTTTATCATAGGGTGGCTAACCTTTGCCTTACTTTCTTACACTACTTAAAAACACACTCTTTGTAACCAAAAACATATATATATATATATATTGCTCTTCTTTCACACTCAAAAGAAACTGTAGGTGGATATTCTTGTTTTCTTTTTTTTAAGAGTTTATTTATTTGACACAGAGAGAGAGATAGCGAGAGCAGGGACACAAGCAGGGGGAGTGGGAGAGGGAGAAGCAGGCTTCCCAAGGAACAGGGAGCCCGATGTGGGGCTCGATCCCAGGACCCTGGGATCATGACCTGAGCCGAAGGCAGACGCTTAACGACTGAGCCACCCAGGCGCCCCTCTTGTTTTCTTTAGCTGAAGAACCCTGTGTCCTTTCATTAGTGGTCTGGAATCTTATTAGCAAACAAAATTTGCACATGGCTTTTATATTAGCGTTACTGTCACACTGTGTACACTGGGGAGATGGAAGACTCTAAAAATGACTAATCTAGCTTCAGAAAATGGACCGAACTATATGCTACATATTCCAACAGACTTAACAATCCGGGCAAGAGAATATTCTAGAAACAAATCACAATTGGAATCCTTATTCTCCTCTCGTTTAGTTTTTTTCCCCCCTCTTTTCCCTTAACCTGGGCATGGCTGCAGCGTTTTGTAAAAGGCAGCTTGCAGTCTCAATAAACAAAACATAGAACCTTCTTTTCATAGTGATTTCTGCAAACACGTTCTGTATTGTAACACTGATGAAATTATAACAGCATTTTTAATAATAGAATTGCTTTTCCTCATTGACCTATTTTCATCACTAAAACAGTGTTCTCGTCCAGAGATGTGCTTATTCCTTATTGAGGGATTAACACAAGTATGTTTAGAGTGTTGTTGATTTGTTTGCTTGTTCTAGTTTTTAAATTCTAAATCTTAAGAATAAGTTTATTTGTAGCTATAACGCGTAAGTGGGCAGCTTTTCATTTCTTTCAGAAATAAAGCAGAAAGTGACTAATATCCTCATCTGCTTCTGAATTCTTACTCATAGGCTCCCCACCCCCCTTCTCTCATGTTCCACAACATTAAGGAGCCTGGGACATGATGTCAGCGTCTTTCTAAAGGCACTGGGTGATGTTTACACACTTAAGCTGCTAGCACTGACAGGACAACTGGAGTCAAATGTAAACCATGGTGTTTATTATTCCCAGTCAAATATGTTGTGCAATGGGTAGCAATAGGCACTGTGTGAAAGGTTGCCTAATAAGCCGCCCCAGCATCAGGATTAGTCAGCTCCTTGCTGTGAGGTGTGTGTGACCAAGATACCAGAGGTGGGTGGTGATGGAAAGGCAGGCTGGCCAATGACACGAACCAAAAGGAGGGGAAACTCAATTCTTGGCAGACAATTGAATCTTAGCAGAAGGCATTTGTTCTCTGAGGTGCAGAGGCTGAGAGGCTCCTGAGAAACATCTGAGGGAAAGATTTTGTTTTCTTACTTTTTATTGTTTTACATAAAAACTTTCTCCTGTATAAAACCTTAGAAGTCAGTGCGATTTCTGGTCACATTAATTTACAGTAGAACCAAATAATGCTTTCTGGAGAAATCTTTTTTCTTTTTGTAATAAAAAGTTTAATTATTAATAACAACAGAACCACACTAAAGAACATTAGAGAAACAAAACAAGGGGAACACATTCATAATCCCTTTTGCTAAAAACAATTACAGCATCACAGTAGCAAACTTTCTTACTGTTTGAACTGTTTTACATGGTTGTAATCATCTAGTTACAGGATTTTGTCATAATTTCTTGGTAACTTATCATAAGCGTTTATATTCTCTTAACTTTTTTAAAAAAAGATTTTATTTATTTATTTGACAGAGAGAGTGAGAGAGAGATCACAAGCAGGGGGAGCGGGAGGCAGAGGGAGAAGCAGACTCCCTGCTGAGCAGGAAGCCTGATGCGGGGCTCTGACCCCAAGGCAGACACTTAACTGACTGAGCCACCCAGGCGCCTCTATCATAAGCTTTTTTCCCCATAGTGCTACATAATCATATTTTAAGTAACTGAATAATATTCCATTGGTTATAGTTCAGCATATGGTTGAACAATGTTTACTTTTTTTTTTTGGATTCCCCCCCAACTCATTTCCCCCCTCCTCTCACCAATGTTCACCTTAACCATTCCAATAGGCTGCTTCCATTTTATGCTGTTGTTGTTATAAATAAAACTGAAGTGTTAAAATATAGTTTTTCAGTATAAAATGTTTAAAAATTAAAGGTGATAAAGGCTGCCTGGCTAGCTCAGTCAGTACAGCATGTGACTCTTGATCTTGGGTTTGTGAGTTCAAGCCCCACATTGAGTGTAGAGATTACTTAAAAAAAAAAAAAATCCTTTACTGAACTCTACATCTGAAACTCATGATGTACTATATGTTGGCTAATTGAATTTAAATTAAAAAAAGAATCTTAAAAAAGTAAATAAAATATGGGTGGCTCAGTTGATTAAGCATCTGCCTTTGGCTCAGGTCATGATCGGATCCCGGAGTCCCAGGATCAGTCCCACATCAGGCTCCCTGCTCAGCGGGAAATCTGCTTCTCCCTCTGACCCTCCCCCATCTCATTCTCTCTTTCTCACTCTTTCTCAAATAAACAAAATCTTAAAAAAAATTTTTTTTTAATTAAATTAAAACTAAAATTTAAGGTGATTTATACCAAATACAAAGCTTGTATAAAGCATATTTGAACAACTTAAAGATCAATAAAAAAATGAACAGCTTAGTATCCACTTCCAACTGAAGAAATAAAACACTTCCTGTAACTTGGAAGCCTGCCTGTGTGCTTCTCTCTGGATGCATCCTGCTCTCTTCTCCCCTATAGAAATAAATACAAGTCTAAATGTTTTGTTTATTAATTTTTTAATATTTTTCATTTTCCCTTAGGGTAGATTCTTTCCAGAATTGAATAATTAAGGTAAGTGGGTTGTTTTTATTCTTATTAGGGCTATCTCTGATGTTGGTGGAAAGCATTGGCTTACATTTTTCCTTCAGAAATTATCAGGCTTACCACACCCGCGTACGCAGGGTAGGCCCACATACCAGAGAAAAATTTGCCTCATAAGGGTGCAGTCTGTGACAGTTTTCTGCCATATGAGGGTATGAAGGGTTAGGACTGAGAACCCTTGTGGTACAGAGATGATTCTGGATTACTTATATGAGGGTTACCCTCCCTCCTCTCAGGCTTTTCTCCAATCTCTAGTTATTTTGGTTTTAGATTCTGTTATTTTAATTACTCATTCATTTAAAATAGGCAGTTCTTTTTGTTCAGCCTATTAGTGTCTGTCTTCTGGGATAAATGCCAACATAATGGTGTTCAACTTTACCTAGTGCCAAGGAATCAGATGGGTCAGGTCTTACTTGTCAGTTTTGAAAATGGAGAAACTAAATTTAAAAATAATTGGCCAATAATAGAACTAATAAGGGTGGGGGCGCCTGGGTGGCTCAGTTGGTTAAGCGACTGTCTTCGGCTCAGGTCATGATCCTGGAGTCCCAGGATCGAGTCTCGCATCAGACTCCCTGCTCAACAGGGAGTCTGCTTCTCCCTCTGACCCTCCTCCCTCTCGTGCTCTCTGTCTCTCATTCTCTCTCGCAAATAAATAAAATCTTAAAAAAAAAAAAAAAAGAACTAATAAGGGTGGTTAGCTTTCAAGTCAATAGTAAAAGCCCCAAATTAGTGTTTCTGATCACTTGCATCAGAATCAGTTTAAGATACTTGGTAAATTCAGAGATTCCTGCACTTGAGACCTACCAAAATCTCTGGATTTGGGGTCCAGGAAGCTACAGTTGAATAAACACCCCAGATGACTTTCAGTACCCTAAACTTGAGAAGCACCACCCTTGCTCAGGGGCAGCAACCTAAGAAAAGTGACATAGTAAATATTCCCATTATTTTCTAGTACATTTTATTTCCTTACCACTGACATGTAGGGTTGAGTAGCCATTTAGTGATCCTTTCTGTGGGACCCATTGTGGCAGATTTTGCTAGACAAGAATGGAAAAAACCTATCTAGAGCCATACCACCCAGAATGTGCCTGATTTCAGTGGCTAAGCAGGGGTGGGCCTGGTTAGTATTTGGATGGGGGTATTGAAAAACCCAGTTCTTTACTTATATTTTGAAATATTAATACCATATGAAGAAGTTACCCTTCAAGTGAGGTCTAGGAACCACCTTAATTATTTGTATCAATTTAGCAGTAAATTTTCATTGACTCTGACCAAGAGCAAGAATGAGATACCGGGGGCACCTGGGTGGCTCAGTCATTAAGCATCTGCCTTCAGCTCAGGTCATGATCCCAGGGTCCTGGGATCGAGCCCCGCATCAGGCTCCCTGCTCAGCAGGAAGCCTGCTTCTTCCTCTCCCACTCCCCCTGCTTGTGTTCCCCCTCTCACTGTGTCTCTCTCTGTCAAATAAATAAATAAAATCTTAAAAAAAAAACAAAAAGAATGAGATACTGGATGAATGCAGGTGAAAGCATTTGCCTGAAGCAAAGACCAGGGTTCAGTGACAGTTTGTGCCAAGCACATTCTGTTTTCTTCCCAGTTTGGAGTAGTGCCCTTTGTCTGTGACCTTGATACTCAGAATTGTTTTGTGCAACCATTAGCCTGCATAGCACTTTCTAATCATCTTTGAAGCTGGAATCTTTATGATCTCACCAAATCGGAAGGGATTTACAAAGGACAGAAGTGCACAAAAATTTGTTGAAAAGCTAAAAGACAAGACTTGGAAAAACAGTATAAAGGTAGAAGTAGAAAGCCAAGTGGAGTCTGGAAAGAAACATTAGAAGTAACCTGAGAGACATGGGCATTCTTCACATTCATTCTCAATTAATATAGCTTGGGAGGTTGCTAAGCAAAACCCTTCTGAGAATTGAACCTGAGATCCTTTTTAATACACATTTGCTGTCTGGAACAGTGAAGGAACCCTGTACCTGAAAATCAATTGCTCTGTGAAAATGATCATTATTAAAATAGTTATTACTGGGGCGCCTGGGTGGCTCAGTTGTTAAGCATCTGCCTTCGGCACAGGTCATGATTCCAGGGTCCTGGGATGCAGCCCCTGCATCGGGCTCCCTGCTGGGCGGGGGGCCTGCTTCTCCCTCTCCCTCTGCCGCTCCCACTGCTTGTGCTCTCCTGCTCTCTCTCTGTCAAATAAATAAATAAAATCTTAAAAATAAATAAAAATAAAATAGTTATTACTGAAACTACATGATATTTGACAGAGTTTCTCTCACTTTTTTCATTTCATTTTTCTATGTTATCAGAAAGTTGCCATATTTAAGAACCCAGCAATGATAATTAGGAATATCACACATTTCAATATTAATATGTTTAGACTTTCTTGAAATTTGAACATAATATTTAACCCACAAAAAATGAAGATGAACCAGTTGGTGAATGTCAAATAGGCTGTAAATATACTAGGAATGTTCAGTTTTAGTAATAAGAATAATAGTAACAACATGAATAAGGGGGAAAAATCAAATAATAAACTACATGTATATTTTACATTTTATGGAGGCTATTAAAATAACATCTTAAATTACAATAGCATATGCAAGGTATCTTTTTTTTTTTTTTTGAAGATTTATTCACCCATTTTAGAGACAGAGCACAAGCAGAGGGGCAGAGGGAGAGGGAGAGAAAATCCCAAGCAGACTCCAAGCTGAGTGCAGAGCCCAACTTGGGGCCTGATCTTACCACCATGAGATCACAATCCAAGCTGAAACAAGAGTTGGACACTTCACAGGCACCCCCCCCTTTTTTTTAAAGATTTTATTTATTTATTTTAGGATTTATTTATTTATTTGACAGAGAGAGAGAACACACAAGCGGAGGCAATGGCAGAGGGAGAGGGAGAAGCAGGCTTCCCGCTGAGCAGGGAGCCTGATGTGGGGCTCGATCCCAGGACCCTGGGATCATGACCTGAGCTGAAGGCAGATGCTTAACTGACTGACCCACCCAGGCACCCCCCAAGGTATCTTTTTAATGTTTATTTGGTGATCTGCATTTTATGTTAAGTTCTGTCTCTGCAACACAAAATAAGGTCAAACTGATCTCAATAATATTTATGATGAGAAAAAAATATTTACGATGAGAAACTATGAATATATAAGATAGTAATAATTTAGCAGTTAAGGAATTTCAGTCCAATAACCAATATTATACTATTGATGAAACACTAAAGTTGGGATAAAGCAGGTTTCCTCCTTTATTTAACCTTATAAGGGAAATTCCTTTTTTTTATGATTTTTTATTCATTCATTTGAGAAAGAGAGAGCTCGAGCACAAGCGGGGTGGGGGGGAGGCGGTGGCAGGGTCAGCGGGAGAGGGAGGAGCACAATCCCTGCTGAGCACAGAAGCCCAATGCGGGGCTCAATCCCAGGACCCCGGGATCATGACCTGAGCCAAATGCAGCCACTTAACCAACTGAGCCACCCAGGCGCCCTAAGGGAAATTCTAGACACTGTTCAAAAACAGAATTCATATGTATAGTTAGAAGAAATTATAGATGAGGGGCGGGAAGCCTGCTTCTCCCTCCCCCACTCCCCCTGCTGTGTTCCCTCTCTCACTGTCTCTCTCTCTGTCAAATAAATAAATAAAATCTTAAAAAAAAAAAAATTTCCCATTTCTTGGCACCTAACTGGCTCAGTCATAAGATCATGGGACTTGGGATGCCTGGTTAAGCGTCTGCCTTCGGCTCAGGTCATGATCCCAGGGTCCTGGGATCAAGTCCCACATCGGGCTCCTTGCTCAGCAGGGAGCCTGATTCTCCCTCTGCCTCTGCCTCTCCCGCTGCTTGTGCTCTCTCTCTCTGACAAATAAATAAATGAAATCTTAAAAAAAGAAGATCATGGGACTCTTGATCTCAGGGTCATAGGTTCAAGCCCAAAGTTAGGAGTAGACATTACTTAAATAAATAAATAAATAAATAAATAAATAAATAAATAAATTTACTTTTTAAAAACCTTCCCATTTCATTGCATTTACTCAGTGCTGAGTATTTTCATTATTCTAAATCTTCAGCAATTTGATGGCAGAACAATAGTATCTCATTGTTTTCACTTGCATTTCTTTCTTTCTTTTTTTTTTTTAAAGATTTTATTTATTTATTTGAGAGAGAGAGAGACATAGCGAGAACAGGAACACAAGCAGGGGGAGTGGGAGAGGGAGAAGCAGGCTTCTCGCGGAGCAGGGAGCCCGATGCGGGGCTCGATGCGGGGCTCGATGCGGGGCTCGATGCGGGGCTCGATCCCAGGACCTGAAATCATGACCTGAGCCAAAGGCAGACGCTTAATGACTGAGCCACCCAGGCGCCCCAAGAAATGGGAACTTTTAAACATTATTTGTGGGAATGCCCTTTTTGGTGAGTAATTTGTATCAAAATTTAAGTATACATATCCTCTGATTCATCATTCTTCCAGTGGCATTTATACTAGAATGGGAAAGAAATAGGGGTATGAATAAAGATGAATAGGAATGTTCAGAACAGCTTTTTATATAATATTGAAAAATTGAAACACCAAAATCAAGAGAATAATATAAGTATATTCATAGGATACACTAATACTAAATGATCGTGAAAACTCATATTTTCCTCACAAAATGTTATAAGTGAAAAGAGCACTAAAAATAGTAGATAAAGTCTGATCCCAATTTTTAAAGTATATACATATTTGTAGAAAAAGAATGGAGGAATATCCACTAAAATATTTATGGTTGTTTCTTCCAGATGATGGAATTCTGAGTTATTTTTACTTTATTTTATGTTTTCCCAAATTTTTTATAATAAACTCATATAATTATAAAAACCATTTTAAAAGCAAACATTTTAAGTTAAACAACAGTGTTAACAAGTTAAAGAGAATGACATTCAAATTATTTCCTAAATCTTTTCCTCTGACTCACAAGGAAAT